TACAAATATATAAAATATAACAAAATGTATTTGTATATTTATTTATTTTACCAGGATGGATACATTGAGATTTCTCTCGTTTTCAAGTATGTCCTGGGTCTTTGTCCACGAAACATTGCATTGATACAATAGGATACAATATTACAAAAATACACTATACTATATATATATATATATATATATATATATATACACACACACACACATATATAAATTTAATACATAACAGGTAATAAATATATTCAACCATGATGGGTGCATTCTGTGCTGAGATGGGTGCATTCTGTGCTGAGGTATGTTGCCATAGATCTCTTAAACGATTTTAGATTGAATGAAGATTTGACTGTGTCCGTGAGGTTATTCCATAATTGCGGTGCTCTGTAGGAAATGGAGGATCGAGACACTTTATTTTTGTATTGCGGTATGCTAAATATCGTGCTAGTACTGGATCGGAGATTATAGGAGGTGGGAACAGCTGGCGAGAGCATTCTACTCAGGTAGGGTGGGAGCTTCCCAGAAATGCTCTAATGCACAAGGCTGGAAAGATGAAGAGTGCGTCGGGATTCCAGCGACAGCCAGTTTAGCTCTTTTAACATGTCACAGTGGTGGGTCGTGTAATTACATTATAGCACAAAGTGGTAGAACAAGTTATACAACATAGTAAGTTTATTAAGGTGGGTTTGTGGTGCAGGTGCATACACTACATCCCCATAATCAATGACCGGCATTAGTATTTGTTTCCTTACTGTAGGGCTTAGGCAGGATTTGTTTCTGTACAGGGCGCCTAGTCACGAAGAATGATTTGTTGGCTCTTTTAACTTTACTTCAAGGCTTATTAATTTTTGTTAAAAGACAGGAGATCCCAGCTTTCATTCTTTAATTGTACCACTGAAGGCTGATGACAAGGCTGAGCATACAACACCAGGTAATGAATGCCAACAATACTAATAATTGTGTTTTTATTGTCTGTTTTTTTATAATAGGTCCATTGGAAAACTATTGGTATTGTATTAATTTCTTTGCTACGTCAGAATCTCTAACTCTGCACCATGGTTCTACAAGACAGCGAGAGAGCTCTGATTCAGACTTTCTGTGACAAGATTGCTCCTAAGGCTGATGCTCTGGGAGTTGAAATTATGGAGAGGTAACAATTAGCAATATTTTATTTTACCCCTTGCATGTGGTGATCCAGGAGTGTCACCGTTTATACATCTGTAAGTCACCGCAGTTCCAACGCGGAGGCTACTCAATTGGAATATTTCCCAGAAGTCAGTGTCAGGGGAAAGGCAGGGCTTGCAAAGGCTGAAGACAGTTCTTTTCGTTTTTTATTTAGCAGAACTCTTGCGACTTGTTTTTTGCTCTTTTTAGCAGAATACACACGATTTTACAGAACTTCTACCTCTCTCCGCTTTCTAACATGACATATTTTATATCCAATAAACTCTTGTTGTCCATTGTGATAAAACTTGCTTTTTCCCCCATTAGGTATGCCAATGCCTACCCACAAATCACTGATTACTTTAAAAAACCTGATTCATCCATCAACAAGCCTGTTATGATAGGTCATGGGGGCAAACTACTGATTTCTTTCGGAGATGCCATCAAAAACTATGACAACCTCAAATGCTCATTGGGGAGCCTCACTGACTTGCATCTGAATACACATAATGTGTCACGGGAACCCTACAAGGTAAGAACCCTTAGGTAGGGACACTCGAAGCACCAGAGCTTACAATAAGTAATACATAGCACATGGTCTTATTGAACATCACATCTTGCAACTGCAGTGGTTCATAAAAATTGCAGCATTATTTGCTGCAGTATGAGCCCACCCCACAGCGGGAAGCTATGCTTCTAATATAGTCACCGCAATCCTACCAATTAGCAGAAATATGAGTCTTCTAATAAACTCTCTATTCCAAAAATATTAGTCAAAACCAGTTGAGCTTTCGTCTGTGTTTCTTCTCTACACATGGAAGAAGCTTAATACAAATGCTATTGATTATTATGGTGGACTGACTGATTTCAATATAAAACACAAATCCTTCAATGTAGATTTATTAAAGTTTTATTTCAACGTCACGGCTTAAATGGCAATTACTAATGCAATCAAGGGCATTTACATTATGTAACAAAAAAGCTTTAAATTGTATTGACAAGAACTGACTGTCCTCTTGCTGCCTATTATATCCCACCCAGTCGCCATTTGTAACAATATAATTATTCACTTCACCTCTTAATGGTTTTAATGTTGTGGCTAATCAGTATATATATATATATATATATATATATATATATATTGGATGGGGCTATTAACAGCAACTTTTTAGTTATTTTTAAATTAAAAATGTAAATCCGTAGTATTGATTAAGCTGGGTGGGATGGGGGTAACATTATTCTGGGCTGGTTAATGACGATATCAAAGGTGACAGCATTTCAAATTGAAATGTTGCATATCCAAATTACAAGCACCATGACCACTTTCAATCACTGAAGTATCCATGGTGTTTAATGGACACAGATTCTAAATGGAAGTTACACATACATCTTTATTTGTAAACAATGTTTTATTTCATTTACACAAAAGATAAAACTAAGTTAAGTTAAATGTTCGCAGAAACATTGGTTTGAACTAGACTTTAAGGTTGTCTATCAAAGATTTATAGAGCTTCATGGAATGTGTACTGCTAGGACTGCTGGCTAGGGAGACGTTCTGTATTTCTTTATGACTTGGCAAATAATGATCACAGAATTTGTATTAAGTTAGTACTTATTGCTACATATTATCATTGCAAACTCATCACCAAAACTCAGGACGAGTCTTCTAAACAGAACCTTGAAATCGTTTAAAGAAAAACATTAAAAACCCCTTCTGTCACTTACCTGGGTCCAGCGCCGGTGTCCCTCGCGTCCGCCTTCACTCCTCCCCTGCCGACATAAGCCTGGCATTAGGATTTCTTCATAGGAAAGCATCATTCAATGCTTTCCTATGGGGTTTTGGGTTACACTGGAAGTCCTCATGCATAGCGTGAGGACGTTCAGCATCATTTAGGCGACCAAAAGTAACCTAAAGACTAAAGACCCGGAAGTCCCTCTAGTGACTGTCTGTTAGACAGCCAATAGAGGAGGCGTTAACCCTAGCAGGTAATTATTACAGTTTTTTAAAGGGTGATGGGACACTGCAGCCTGATCACTTCAATGAGTGCCTATAGTGTCCCTTTAAGAAACACATGTTGATTCATAAGAAATGTTTTTCTACAACAGTTTAGTCTTTTAGACTCTGACTAAACGAGTCTACTTGACTCTCAGTCTCTCCCAACTCAGACCCTGAAAATCAACTTCAGACAACAAAAACTGAAACACAAACAAAATGGATACAAAGTAAACCCACAGACAAAGTTAAGCCTCAGAAACACACTTCAGGTCCAGAAAAAATGAAGTAAAAATATTGAGACCTAAACTTACACATTTCCCAAAATATATTCATTAAGAAGTCGCTCACACAGTTTAGTGTTGAATACAATATACTGTTTCCGTGACAAAAGCTATTTTGCTCTAATTATAATGCAGAATGTTGATGAATAACATGTCTTTTCTCTACAGCTCCTTAATCATTCAATTCTAATCACATTCGCTGTTAACTTTTCACCTGAGTTCAAGAATTATCAGATGGAAAACGCATGGCGAAAATTCCTTGATGAGATTGCTTGTGTCATGACTAGTAAGAATTAAATCTCCACTAACAGGAAATTAAAGGAGAATATGTAATCCAATGTTAATCGAAGACCCCGGAAACGGTTACTATGGAGAGCTAATCTGTGTATTCATTGCATATTTCTCATAATAATTACACAAATAAAAAGTGATTGGCATTATAAAAACCTGGTTTCATTAGCTATTTGAGTTTTTATTTTATTTCAAAATCATCTTTTAATAGCAGCCACGTTAAAAAGCCGTAATATACAGTCTACTTACCTCACGAATAAACTCCACAAATACCAAAATATAACCTCTCAAGGGGCCCATATTCCACACGTTTGTAGGTGAAGTGTAGGTTTGGAGTGAATCAAGTTTCCTTAGAAGGACTGGTAGATACAGGAATTAAAATGTTCTGTATGGAATGAGGTGAGGACAATGTCCAGTATTTGGCTGTAGCAGTTTGCTGTTTGGCTAAGGAAATATGACACGTGTGCTTTTATAGTTGATATACTGAGCTGAAATAGGTTTCTGTATCAATATTTGTAAGGAAAGATGTATCTGGGCCCACAATTCCTGAACAGCACCACACACGTGGAGGTGAGAACTGTGGCCAGTTTTCAAAATGGATATTATGTAACAAGAAAATAACCTGCACAGGTGAGCTACAGAATAAATAAGGGGAATGAAAGATGTAGTTACAGAGGTTAGGAGTGTTTACGCAGACTGACCTAATGCAAGCTGTTGTCAATAACAGGACTGGGCAAAAGATATAGCATTCTCAATTATTCAACAGGACTGTAACATTGAATCAGTTTAGCGACGATAAAGGGAAACGAGAGAAGGTGTAGCAGCTTAGGGGAGCAATTAAGAATCTAATAGCAAGATGTAGATAGTTGAGCAGATAAATATACCTGAGGCAATTATTTCAAAAAACCTCCACTTATGATTAGTATCGAGTGAATGGGAACTAGAGTTGCTTTTTTCAAAATAGGAATTTCATTCTTGCCCAACAAGGAAACTTTGAGAAATCTGGATATAATTATATAAGTAATATCACGTAAGCCTTACCTCACGACTGACTGGCCAGTGAGACACTAAATATTAGTTTTGCTTTATCTCTACCTGTCACGGGTTTGGGGTGAATGGGCTTTACCAGGTGGCCCAGGATAGGATCATGTATACAAGAGTTAACCAAAATAGGTTCAGGCACGCAAGGAATAACCAAGGCAGGTCCAGGTAGACAAGGGTTAACTAAGGCAGGTCCAGACAGACAAGGGTTAACCAAGGCCGGTCCAGGCAGACAAGGGTTAACCGAGGCCAGTCCAGGTAGGCAAAGGTTAACCAAGGCTAGTTCAAGCAGACAGGGTTTACCAAGGCTGGTTCAGGCAGACAGGGTTAATCAGGGTGGGCTCAGGCAGTCAATGGTTAACCAGATCAGGTTCAGGCAGACAAGGGTTAATCAAGGCTTTGGAGGCTTGTAACCTCTAGGGAGTTCACACGGTAACTGAGAAAAGCACCCAAGGTGGGTTTGGTTTAACCCCTTAAGGACCAAACTTCTGGAATAAAAGGGAATCATAACATGTCACACATGTCATGTGTCCTTAAGGGGTTAAATAGGGTAGGGGGAATGGAAGCTCTCCCACGAGGAGAAGTCTCTAGCCTTTATAAGTAGATGAGATCTCTCCGGTCCTCTCTTTTTATTAGATGTCATTCTGCTCCATCACTATCCCTATTGCTATTAAGAAGTGTATTGTCATGTATACCTCTTTGTTTACGTTGTTGGCTGGTTCACTTTGTTTTGCACTGTGCGCACTTTACACTGCTTGCGTGTCTTTACCAATGTGTGCTACTATTTTCCCCTCCAGGACTAGTGAAACAGGTACATCCTGAGGACTCTATAATATCCTTATGGCAACTTAGCCTTATACCTAAAACTCCTACTCAGCACAGGCTGCCTACTTACCGATAATTACATACCTGCAATTTACCATATCTCATTTACCATTCGCGGCACATTAGAATTTCTTATAATGAAAGTAGAATTCTTAATGTATAACTAAATGTATAACGGGTTTAATTTGGATTTAAGAGAAGTAGGTGGCCTTGTAGTCTTTCTGTATTTCTTCCATCTCTCTAGAAGTGTCTTTTATAAATAATTATAGTAAAGTTAAAGAAATTATACTGGCCAGGTATGCTATAACACCAGAAGCATACCGGCGGAGATTCAGGGATTTGAAGAAGGTGGAGAAAGACTCACACGCAGAGTGGGCTTGCAGGTTACAAAGGGCAGCCCTAGGGTGCGTGCAAGCGAGCAAGGCACGGTCCATGGAGGATGTATTACAAATGGTGCTGATGGAGCAATTTTATGAGGGAGTAACTAGCGAGGTACAGGAGTGGGTAAGAGACAGAAACCCTACCTCCCTCACCGAAGCAGCCAGGAAGGCAGATGAGTACCTGGATGCACGCAGGCAGCAAAAACCTGCAGCTCCAAAAGTCCCGTTTAAAACCTTTGGGGGAACCAGCTACCTCCCAGCTCCACCGAGACCCCTGCCACCACCACCACTGCCCGCTGCACAGCCACGTTTCCACCAGCCCACATCTGGCCCCTGCCACCACTGCCAGAAATGGGGACATTATAAAAGGGAATGCCCCCAGCTGCGGGACCGTTCCACCTGGATCCGGCCCGGTCCACCACCACCACCGAGAGCAGCCGCAGCCCACCACTACCAGGATATCGTGGCCACCCCATATGGCTCAGCGGTTCTCATTACAACTGTGGAACAATGGGAAGTACTGCACGAGGCAGATCCAGTCCAAGCCAATGCTGACAACCGCCAGCATCACAGGCAGACCGTATATCTGGAGGGTAAAGCGGTTCAGGGGCTCCGCGACTCAGGGGCTACCATCACCCTGGTAAAGAGCCACCTGGTCTCAGACCAGGCTAAACTAAACAAGACTGTGGCCGTCAGGGTAGCCGGGGGAGCAGTATACCGGCTACCTACAGCGAGGGTACACTTGCATTGGGGAGCGGGGGCAGGACATGTGGAGGTGGGGTTGATGCCGCAGTTACCGGCGGAGGTTTTATTGGGGAACGATCTAGGGAAGGCTCACATCTGCTTTTGAGCCCCAGACACCCACCACAGGAGAAGCTCACCCTGTGGTTACTCGACAACAGGCCCGCACCCAGGACTACAACACACTCCCGGAGGTTCAGGTAAGAGCTCCTTCCCCTTCCCTTGACTGTGTTCCCTGGGCCCCTCCTAACGAATTTGCAGCTGAGGTAGTGACTGACCCCACCTTGCAGGTGTATAGGGACAAGGTGACAGCAGACACGCCTGGGGGGGAGGGCGAAAGGTTTATCTGGGACAAACAGCTGCTATATCGGGAGACGGATAAGAAGGTATCCGGGTCAGACCCGATTGTGATGAGGCAGTTAGTGGTACCCCAGCGGTACCGGGCAGAGTTACTCCGGATAGCACATGACATCCCGCTATCTGGACATTTAGGGGTCAGCAGGACCCGGCACAGGTTAACCCAAAGCTTCTTTTGGCCTGGAATTAGCCAGGAAGTGCGCAGGTATTGCAACACGTGCGATACATGCCAAAGGGTGGGGAAAAGGGGGGACCGACGCAAGGCCAAGTTACATCCCCTTCCCATAATCGAGGAACCCTTTAGCAGGGTAGCAGTTGACCTAATAGGACCCCTCAACAAAGCGAGCCCGTCAGGTAAAAGATTTATCCTGACAGTAGTAGACTATGCCACTAGATATCCAGAGGCGGTGGCCCTGACGAATATACAGGCTGAGACAGTAGCGGAAGCCCTGATGCAGATATTCTCCCGGGTAGGACTTCCCAGGGAGATTGTCTCCGATCAGGGCACCCAATTCACCGCCGAAGTCACGCAGCGCCTCTGGAAGTTTTGTGACATTAAGCCTGTCATTAGTTCCTCTTACCACCCCCAGACGAATGGGCTCTGCGAACGTTTCAACGGTACATTGAAACAAATGCTCCGAACCTTCGCAGAGACCCACAAGGACTGGGAGAAATTTCTGCCTCACCTCCTCTTTGCTTACAGGGAGGTGCCGCAGGAATCCACTGGGTTTTCCCCATTTGAACTATTGTTTGGCCGCAGGGTACGAGGGCCTTTAGATTTAATCAGAGAGCATTGGGAGGGAGAACGGAGCACTGACGGTACCCCCATCATACCATACGTGTTGGCATTCCGAGACCGCCTGGAGGCCTTAACCCAGACGGTACGCGAGAATTTGCAGGCAGCTCAGACACGCCAACGCACATGGTATGATCGGGGCGCCAGGGACCGTAGCTTTCAGGTCGGGCAGAAAGTGTTGATTTTAAAACCTGTCCGACACGATAAGCTGCAGGCCGCCTGGCAGGGCCCTTATAAGGTGGTAGAACAACGGTGTGACACCACTTATATAATAGGCTCGTGCGTTGGTACTGGGGGGCACGCATGCTCCATGTGAACATGATGAAGCCCTACCAGGAGCGCTCTGAGGAAGTGACCGCCATATGCGCGCCTAACTCAGAGGAGTTTGACAGTCTGCCTCTCCCGGATCTGCTGGGAGAGGGTCAGTTATCGGGGGACTTAGGGGAAGTCACCCTGGGGGACCGGTTGAGCCCACAGGAGCGGAGCGAGGTACAACAGCTGTTGAGGGAGAAGCAGGATATCTTCTCTAATGTACCTGGTTACACTCCTCTGGCCACTCACAGAGTAGACACCCCAGGGCAACTTCCCATGCATCAGACCCCGTACCGCATCCCAGAAGCGGTACGGGCGAACATGAGCAAGGAGATCGATGAGATGCTCCAGCTGGGGGTGATTGAGCCCTCTGACAGCCCCTGGGCATCCCCGGTAGTGCTAATACCAAAACGGGACGGCACGACCCGTTTTTGTGTAGACTACCGGAGATTGAATGAGAAGACGGTATCTGACGCCTATCCCATGCCCAGGATAGATGAACTACTGGACCGGATGGCGAGGGGGCACTATCTCACCACTATTGACTTGTGTAAAGGGTATTGGCAAATACCCTTGGCGCAAGACGCCATCCCTAAGTCGGCCTTTGTCACCCCATTCGGCTTGTACCAATTTAAGGTCATGCCGTTTGGGATGAAAAACGCCCCGGCTA